CAGCTTCTGATGACTCAGGTCTCCAGCTTCCACAGCCAGGTCTGGTAGATGGGATAGGTGCCAGAAACTGGAATCAGCCCCCGGGCTCTGGGATCCCACAAATTTAGGCCCCTCAGAGCCTCCCCAGTGCCCTGGGGCCCTTCCTCATCCTTCAGGTCCCAAGGAGTCAGCTGATTCTAAACAATCTTTGCATTTGGGGATAGGAGCAGGCAGCCACAGTGTGATGAAATCACCCGGACTCCCTGGCCTGAGGAGGCCAGGAGAAAAGGCTTCTAGCCCTGACGCTGCCTCTAATAACGACCTGTTTTCCATCTCTGAACCTCATTTTCCTCACCTGCAAAATGCTTCCAGCCATGAAATCCTCAGGCTCAACTAATCTCTTTTGGCATCCTGTTTCAGCGTCTCAGATCAGAGAGCCAGAAAATTCTGAGATGCTTATCCTTCTCACCAACTGGATGACCTTGGGCAAATCATTTAACCTTTCTGAGCCAGTGTGTCCTCATCTAAATCTACATTTCTATAAATCCAGGCACATTCCATCTACAAAGAAGCAAGGACTCAGCTGTTGACAGGCAGCCATGGAGAGAATGCTTGATTTGGAGTCAGGAAAACCTGGGTTCAGATCCTGCCTCAGATACCTCTTAGCTGTGTGACCATTAGGGAAGTCCCTTAACCTCTCAGATTCCTCATCTGTATGGGGGGGGGAGGGAAGGACTGATCTTTAAGTTCCTTTCCACACTGAAATCTATGAACTTGTGATCTTGTTCCCATAGGAGTAAAGTAAGTCAGAAGGACAACAACCGAAGCCTTGGGAGGGCTCCAAGGATCTGTCTCCACAGCTAGGGGGCACAGTGGATAGAGCACTGGCCCTGGATTCAGGAGGACCTGAGTTCAGATTCGGCCTAGACACATAACACTTACTAGCTGTGTGACCCTGGGCAAGTCACTTAACCCCATTGCCTCACACACACACAAAAAGGATCTGTCTCCACACTATGTCTTGTTCTTGGGGTGGAAGGAGACTAAGGTTTGCCTGCCTTCCTGGGTAAAGAGATGTTTGAACAAAAGCTGGTCCTTTTATCTTTTGTTTGCAGGGCAGAAAAGGGAAAATATAGGGGAAGAAAGGAATGAGGAAAACCCACAGCCTCATCAAAGTCTCAGGGAGCATGAATCTGCTGGGCGACCAGCTTCGAAGGAACTGGACCTCCTTAGCCCTTACTAACTTTCATTAACAGGGGCTCTGGAATTGGAAGGGCTCTCGTGACATGATTTTGTCCAACCCCCTTATTTTACAGTTGAGGAAACCGAGGGCCACTTTATCGCTCAAGGTCACCCAGCAATGGAATGACAGATCTCAAATCTAGCGGTCTTTCCACTTCTCCCCACTGCCTTATCTCCTCCACAACAGAAATGGGGGACACTGGCACTGCCATCTCAGCATGGCTTAGCTTCTACAGGCACCTGAAAAGCCTGGGAACTTGGAAGCTGGTGCTGGGAATCAGAGGCTATGGAATTGCCGTCGACTGTTGCATGCAGAGGTCTTAGAAAAGGGGTCACTGGAGGTGCAAAACTCCAACTGGATGAAACTTTGGATTTTTTTGAAATACATAGAAGCACCAAGGCTGACTTCAGGTGGGAGGGAACTCAGGATGACTTAGGTTCAAGTCTAACACCTACTGGCTGTGTGACCCTGGCTACGTCACTAAATCTGTCAGTGTCACCAGGAACTCTCTAAGACTATAAACCGGAGAACAGGAGTTAATTTTTAGTCTGTGTTGGTAACAGTTTCCTCACAGGGAATTTCCTGTATTGATTAAATCACAGGCCCTAGGTTGGAGGGCCAGGGGAAAGATATGCATAGTAAATAAATAATTGAGCAATGCTGATGGGCTCACAGGATGTAGAGTTGGAAGGGACCTTAAAGATCAGCTAGTTAGATTTCCCTTATTTTGCAGACGAGGAAATTGAGACTCAGAGAGGAGGTCACCCAGGCAAGTAAGAGGGCCAGGATTTGAATCCAGGTCTACTAACTCCAAACCCAGTGCTTGTTTCATTGAGGTAGGACAGCAGATAACAGCCTGTGGCCAGTCGAGTCCGTGGCACACTGACTAGTGGGCTGGGGGTGCAAGGTGGGATTTGACCACCTTCTCTTCTCTAGTTCCTCCAAGTACATTTCTCAAAGTCTTTTTTCTCAGCCTCCTGCTGCTATTTGAACATCAGGCCCCAGGCTGAGGATGCTCCTAGGAGCCAATCAAATGTAGAACCCTCCCTCTCCACCCCCACCAAATCTAAGAGGTAGGAAAACAGTCCTGGAGCAGCAGGGGGGTGAGAGATGGTGGTGGTACAACCAGTCCTGCCACGGGGCAGCCTGCCACATTCATCTCTCCAGCTCCCTGTGCCAGGGTCCTAGCTCTACCCTGCATGCCCTCTGGCCTCCAGAGTGGCAGAGATTCTAGTAATGGGGCTCCCTGGGGGAAGCTGGCTTTGAAAACTCCACAGCAATGGGAGCAACTCTGCTTTCTGCTTGGACTAGCTTTGCCTGTCCTAGCACCTTGTTAAAGCTGGATGGGTCCTTCCTGAGTGCTCGCTCGAGCGCTCTCTCTCTCTCTCTCTCTCTCTCTGTCTCTCTCTGTCTCTGTCTCTCTCTCTGTCTCTGTCTCTCTCTCTCTGTCTCTCTCTCTCTCTTTCTCTCTCCCTCCTTCTCTCTTCTTCCCTCCTTCCCCCTCTCTCTCTGTCTCTGTCTCTGTCTCTCTCTGTCTCTCTGTCTCTCTCTCTGTCTCTGTCTCTCTGTCTCGCTCTCTCTCTCTCTCTCTCTCGTTAGCATACATTCATATGATGTATGTAGTTAGTATGTAGTATATTGTAGGAATGTATTACCTGCCCCTTAGTTTTGCCCCAGAGTGAGGTATTCTGGATTCTAATTCCAGCTCTTCTTTCTGCCCCATTTCACTGGATCAGAATCTCACTAGGCTCCAGAAAACAAACCAAGGCTGACCCCTCCCCCTCCCTTCCTTAGGAGAGGGAGTTAAGTGGAAGACTTGGCTCGGGCCCTTTGATAGAGAAGCTGGCATCATGTAGTTCCAAAGGCTAAACTCTAGAACATCTAAGTCCAATTTCTGGACAGATGGCATCTGCCAAATTGAGCCCCACCCCCAGTCACCCCAAGTCTGCTGTCTAACCCCATTCTTTACCCTCAGATCCCTTCCTCCCCTGTCCACCCAAACCAATTCCTGACTCTTCTTCTCTGCCCTGCCCTGCTCTGCCTTCCCTAGGGACAGAAGCATTGCCCTCTGAAGTTACCTGATCCCCAAAGGTCCCTCCCTTTCTTTTGGCTTCCTTGAGGTCTTGGGACCTATACCCCAGGTCCTGGTAACCCCAATAGGGAGAGAAGGGTCACTAGGCTCACGGGTCCCATTCTCTCTACCCTCCCATGCTACAATTGCAGGGCAGAGAGGCTACTGGAAATACAGGAAGGGGTGTTAGCCGGGGCAGCAAGCTACTAAACTCTTAACCAACTCCCCCTGGTGACCTTGAATTTGTTCCCAGGCCTCAATATCTCCGATTGTGGAAACAAGAGATAGCGTCTTCCTTCTTCCTGACTGGGGGTAAGGGGGGCATAGGGCTAGGTCTCAGGTGAAAGAGGAGAGAAGGTGTGAGATGGACATTTTAGGAACCTGGGATAAAGGGAGTAGAGTAACATATGTGGGCCGGAGGGTTGGGTAGAGAAGGGGAGTGACTGCTCTTTAGGCCTTTCTTCCCAGGCCAGGGGACAGGACAGGCAGGAGGCTTTGCTGTCCCAGCTGAGTCCACCAGCTCCTTCCCCGCCCCCAAGCCCCGGGACAGGCCTGGGAAACTGTGGGTTTGATCGCCCTTCCCCCCCACTTCCCCAAGGCTCTGGGGGGAGGGGGAAGCCCTGGAGTAACAACAACCAATCCTGGCCCTTCGGGTCAGCAGGATACATGTGCTCTGACTTTCGTCCGGCAGGACCCTGGTCCCTGGGTCTTCGAAAAGATGCAGGCCGGTGGGGAAGGAGTTAAGTCCTCTCTCCCGGCTTTATTATTTTTTCCCCCCTGGCCTTGGCAATGACAGCATTGTCTGGGCTCCGGGGCTGCAGTAAGGAGCCAGGGGGAGGAGAGGGGGGGAAGGGGGAAGGAGGGAGGGAGGGAGGATTGGGGGATGGGGGAAGAGGGAGAGGGGAAAGAAGGAGGGAGAGGGGAAAGAAGGAGGCACCCAGTCTCGAATAGCCAGAGCCCAGGGATTTAAAGGGCGGCGCAGAGACTTGTCGGCTCCCTCCTGGGCCATCGGGTCCCCGGGTAATAATGAGATCCTTTCTGAAGGCGGGGGTCATCCCAAAGCCCCCTCCCCCCGAAAGCTGAGGTTTCAGTCCCTCCCAGCCCCCGTTTCCCTTCCTCGGTACCCCCCGCTCCCCAGCCCCGCCTCAGCCTTTTTTTTTCAGGAGGTAGGGAGAGCGGGTTTAACGTTCTGGGCAGTCTGGAAGGGCTCTGTCCGGCAACCGAAGGCAGAACCCCCTGACCGCCCACTCCTCCACCCCTAGCATCTCCTCCCTCTACTTCCCCAAGCCAGACTGAACAAGGACAGGAGACCCGGCCCGGCCCATGGCCACGGCCACAGTCACAGCCACAGCGCGCTCACACGCGAGAGCGCGCGCGCGCACACACACACACACACACACACACACATACAGACCCACAGACACACATACACACATAAGGGCGCAGAGAGTCCCAGCTCTATACATAGGTTCCTCCCAAGTGCCTACAGACACACAGTAGACGAGAGCACATGGGTCTAAGCAGACGGACTGACAGACGGGCGGACAGGAGGACAGAGGGACGGAAGGGCGGACGGGCGGGGGACCCCAGGACTAGGCTGCCCCCGCGCCCACCCCGGTCGGGGTCCCTCACGGTCGCAGGCTCCCCCAGAGCGTGAGCTGCGCGGGTAGGAAGCGAGGGGGCGGGGCCCCTTTCTCTCCCCGTTACCTTCATGTCATTGACGATGGCCTGGAAGAGGCCCCCTAGGGCCCCGCACTCTTTCTCAACCGTCTCCATGCCGGCCGGGGCGCAGGGTCTGGGACTGGCCAAGCGGGCGGGGGGGGCGCGGCTCCCGGGGCTCTGCGAATCCGCAAGGGAGGAGAGACAAAAAGCCGTGCCAGACCCCCGGGCTGCTCCTGCTAGCCTGGGCGCGGTGGGCCCCGCAGGCGGGCGGTCCAGAGCCCCCGCCTCCGGCAGCGCTAGGCTTCAGCGGCCGGCCGCCCCCCGGGCCCGGGGCCCGCGCAGCCGCCGGCCCTCCGCAGCCATATCCCGCGGCCGGCGGGCTCCGCTCCGCTCCGCTAGTGGCCCCGGCCCTCCCCGCGCCAGAGGGAGGCGGCCGCCCCGGGATGGAGGGCCCGCAGCGGCCCGCGTCCGTTCCCCCGCGGCCGTGGGCGCAGGGAGCTGGCGGGGGCGCAGGGCAGCGCAGCGCAGCGATCCCGGGGACTGGCGGGGAACGAACGGGGCGGTAATCCGAGCCCAGGAGGCTCCGGCGTCACATGGGCGCGGGGAAAGGGGGAGGGACCCGGCGGGCGGAGGGAGGGAGAGGAGGGGAGCGGAGCCGAGCGGAGGGGAGGGGGCGGCTGTGGGAAAGGCCGAGCTCAGCGCAGGCCCATTCACGACCAGGAATGAAGACTTTGAAATCCGAGCCCCTGGGCTGCCTTACTGGTTTGGTGAGCTCGGTCCCCCAGAGCCCAGGCTGCGGGGTGGCACAAAGGGGACCCAGAGGGAGGAGGGGGCGCTGCTGGGAAATTGGGACTGGGCATGGATGGATCCTCATGAGACCCCCAGGCAAGACCACTTTGATTTCCGCGGAGGCTTGGCGCCCCCCCCGCCCGCCCAGTCATCCAGATTGGGGGAGACACCTAGAAGAGGTTCCTGCACGTTGAAGGCAGAAAGCTCTAATCTCGGGGCTTATATTTGCGACCCTGGTTGAGGAGCTTGTTTTAGGGGGCACCAGAAAAAAAAAAACATAACACAAAACAAACCCCAAACATTCCTTCCAGGAAACTCCTGAGTTACAGAGGTAGGCAGGTATGTTATGGGGGAGGGGGAGGAGGTGCATCTTCCCTTCCTTTCACGAAGACTCACGTTCAGACGCACGAAAAGACACCAGATGAACCTATGAGGTTCTTTTAGCCTCGTCCCTCACCGGGATTCCCTGGAGAGCCAGGCACTTCTTCCTGGCGCCCCCCTTCCCCCCCCATGAAGTCTGGCCGGGGAGGTCTTAAGTCGCCAGTCTCATGGACATCCCTTCCGGCCGGCCCATCTGGGGGCTGGTGGAGGGTTATTAAGAGTTGGATGCATTATTAGATGTTTACTATGTCCCAGCTACTGTGCTAAGGAATGAGGATTAAAATACGGGCAAAGGCTACGACTTCGGTCTGGTCGATGACTTCAAAGGCAAATGAGCATTACGCTTCTTTTGGGACCTAGGGAGGCAAGCCCCTTAGTGCACAGTGAGAATCGTTGGTGAGGGAAAGGCATCACAGGGTCTGCCAACCAAAGCTGAAGTCCCGGGCACTAGATGGTCATTGGTCACATATGGCTCCTCTACTCAGTTACGTTCCAGTGGCCTCCCTCCCCGCTCTCTGCTTCTAGGCTCAACATGAACACTCCCGTTTGCCCTTTGTAACCCTTCACAAGCTACTTTGCCAGGCTTATTAATCATTGGTCCCCTTCCCAGCCAAACTGGCCGTCTTGCTGGTCCTCCCAAGACCTTCCAGCTCTTCTCTCTGGAATTTTGCATAGCTTGAGTGCAGCTCAAGGGCCATCTTCCACATGGAGTTCTTCCCTATTCTCCAAGTCGTGGAGACCTTTTTGTGGGACCCTGTTTTGCACAAGTTTTGGATATTCCCATCTATATGCACTCCCCCGGTAGAACGTAAGGTCCTAGGAGGCAGGGGGCCATTTCATTTCTGTCTTGTATCCCTGGTTTTTAGCATAGTGAGACAACACATTGGAGAGAGCTGGTTTTGCAGACAAAGGAGGTCCTGCCTTCTGGGACACACTGGTGGCCAAGTCATTCAACCTTGGTGCCCCAGATCTCTCTTAAGTCTGTAAGTTATAGAAAAGGTGTGACCTGCATCGGTAGAGGGCACTTCATCACCTGGGAGTTCTCTAATGAAATCACAGGTCTGATCTCTATCCTCAGTGCCTGGCACACAGTAGGGACTTAGTCTTGTTGACTGCTCCCAGCCAGAACCACTCTGTGAACTTAGTTCAAACTGAAGCCAGCTAATGTAGAGCTAACCAATGCCTAGTAGTCCTGGGTGACGATGGGGACTGGGGCAGCTGACTGGTGTCTTTGCCCTTGATCCAGAAAGGAACTGCAAGGATGGGGGCAGGTAGGGCATTTGGACTCCTTCCCAGCTTTACTTCTGTGACCCTCTCTGCCTCAGTTTTCCCCATCACCTGGGGCTCTGTTTCCCCTGCCCCTTGGAACCCTGGGAGGTTTGGAAAGCCTCTCCCAGAGGGGCCTTCCCCCTGGTCCTCAGACACCACAGCCATCCTGCTGCTGGGAAATAAATCACATTCTAATTTTACAGGGGGTACATAGCCTTAAAAAGTATTTTTAAAATAAAAACTGGTTCTGTTGATAATTAAGAGGCCTTTGGGATGAGGTAATGAGGATGAAAAACCGGGGGGGGTGGGTTCTCTCTGCACAAGGCCTCCCGTTAGATCTGTTATTGTGGGATGGGGGATGAGAAGACAACACAAGGTGACCATGAGCACCGTAGAAATCTAGGTTTCCGGACTCCTCGGGCACCACTTGGGCAGCTGGGGGCCTGGTCTTGGTGCCAGGGAGGGTTTGGCCTGTCAGGACCTTCTCCTGGTTTAATGCATGGAGCCAGGGCCAAAGTGACAGAGAGCCCTGAAGAATATAGGGGGTTTAAAAAGGGAAAAAAAGAGAGCAGCACAGATGTGGGAAAGGATCAAAGTTACCATCATTCCTTTATTTTTACCTGGGAGATCTCCAGTCTAACATACAAACCTCTGTGATCCAGGTGGAGACTAGATTAAGAGCCAGAACATTTACATCTGTGTGTACACAGACACACTGACATGTCAAGAGATCTGGGCTAGGGAGGGAGCAATCGAGTTCTGCTCTCAATCCAAATGGAAGGGGCCTGTTAAAAGAGCTGATTATGGGGGGGGGGCGCGTTACTTCTGAGGCAGAGGGGCGCATCTCAAGGCGACTCAGGGCCGTCTCAGGGAGAGCTGGAGGGTCAACCCTGCCGCTACTGCGCTACTCTAGCACAGCCGGGAAGGGCCAGCAAGCAGCAGCTAGTGCTGGCCGCTCCTGGCCATAGGATGGAGAGGCGGGCAGCAGCCTTTCTTCCTCCGCCCTTGAACGGGCTTCCTATTTGGCTGCAGGGCGTGCCTAGCTACAGTAGAAGACAGCACGCTCACTACCTGTTCACCTCCCTGCTAAGGTCCTGGAAAGAACTTTGGGAAGGCCACAAATGGTCCACAGGACCACCGCACCAGCCTCTGCCCCCAAGCTGTGCATGCTGAGGGCTCAGAGGACGATCCTGCGGTCCAGCTGGTCACCACGCCCACTCCGCTGGTGTCTCATCTCCAGATGCTTGTTCTGGACCCTGTCAAAGTGCTGCAGCAGCTCCACATAGTCAATGCTGGGGGAATCCACCTTCCGGGAGCTTGGGGCTGTCTTTACACTATCCCTGAGAAGCCAGAAACAGAGAGAACGCTGTGAGTCAGGAGAGTGCCCGGCCAGAGCCATCTGCCCTGCCACACTATGGGAAGCCTAGCCCTGGTGAGAGTGTCAGAAATGTGGAGGACCAATAATGAAGAAGTCAGGGGCTGGGGTTCAGGCAGACTGTCCCTTGCCTAGAGGGTAAACTGATATTAAAAACAATAACAAAAAATAAACTTTCCAGGCAGAGAGCAGCCTGTCTTCTTTTCCCTAATGTTTAACAAATGTTTGAAAAACAAACTGCATACGGTAGGTGCTTAACAAATGCTTTAAAGCTATGCAATTATAACGAACAAGCTAGGATCTTGGAGGAGAATTGAAAAAAAAATCTTCCTTCTGTGCAGAGGTGGTGGACTATGGGTGTGGAACACCACATACAACTGTCTCCTGCTGGACACAGCGATGGCTCTGCTGGACTGTATCTGCTTGGTTACAAGAGCAGGTTTGATGGAGGTGAGACGAGGCGGGGTATATGAAAAAATGAGTGTAATTGAAGAAAAAAGGCATTCATTAAAACAGGGACTGCAGTGCCTCCAACTCTGTTGCTGTCCATTTCACGTCCAGTTCAGTTGTTTGGCTCCATCTCCCTGTGACCCCGTTTGGGGTTTTCTTGGCAGAGGTACTGGAGTGGTATGCCATTTCTTCTCCAGATGAATTTACAGATAAGGAAACTGAAAAAAACAGGCCTAAGTAACTTGCCCATGGTCGCACAGCTGCTAAGTGTCTAAGGCGGGATTGTGAACTCGGGAAGATGTCTTCCTGCCTTCAGGCCCAGTGCTCTACCCATTATGCTCTTATTAAAGGCCGTGGTAAAGGCCCTACTGCCCACTTCTTGTCATGGTGTGTGGGTGACCCTGGGTCACACCAGGGACGGCCAGGAAGGCTGCAAACACGAGCAGGGGGATAGCCTTGCCCAAGGACCAACCTTGTAAAGTTGGGTCAGGCTCACCAGGATCATGGAAGATTTCTGCTACAGCCATTTTCAAAGATGATTTACTAACTTGTAGAGGGCTGCGATCTGTATTGGTGGAAGAGCACCCACGCTGATGAAACTATGTGACAGGTTAGAGAGACCAGAGATCATCCCTGGCTTGTGTCTCCATTGCTCTGGAGGACAGGGCGAATGTTGATGCCTGCTGGTGGACCTTGAACTGTCCATCTGGGTTACTGGCCCCCATCCATGTGGCCCCTGGTTTGACAGGGGTGGGATGGGACTGGAGACAGAGCCCAGAGCACACATCATTGGGAAGCATTTCCTGTTTATGAGTTTCTCCCAGGGGGGGAAGGGACTGGAATGACATTTGAGCTAGCAACAAGCCAGAAGCCAGCTGGGACTCCAGGATGGGGTGGGATGGGTGGGTGCTATGTTGGAGGGAACAGGCTTAGCCCTCTGAGTGGGTCAGGGTAAGGCCTTGGGAAAAGGTTGGAGGTGCTAGGTCTGGGGCAGCTGAGGACAGTCACAGCTGGGCAGAAAGGCAGCCAAAGCCTCGCCTGGCCGGGAGCTCTGACCTCTTCGCCACCCCCTCATCCCCCAGCTTTGGTCACTGTCTCTGCCCTCACCTTCCTGAGGAGGCTCCTCATGGAATTCTGTCCCCTCCCTAACTCCTCACCCCCACAGCTGCACTTTGATTCCTCTTGCTGAGATTCTAACAAAATAGTTAACATTTTTGGTTTCAGCAAGAAGCAAAACCACAGCTCTGCCCCTCCCCCTCCCCGCCTGCTCTTTGAGGGAGCCAGAGGCATGT